CAATTCATTACCATTAAAAAATACAATCAAGTAGTCATTACAATATACATTATGGTTTTTCATATATAGCACATATACTTGTATTGAATTTAGTCAATTTTTAAGTCTCCGGTTTCATCAATGACAGTTTTTTATATTGCGGGCGCATTTTGTAATTGTTTTACGTTTTTTTTTATATAGATTTGTTTTATTGTGTAAAATAATTAAAGATAAGTTGTTGTTGTTGTTGTTGATGTTGTTGTTGTTATTATATTATGGTTTACGCTGGGGGGCTCCGGCATAACAACTAGCTCCATTGCAGCTAGCTCCGCAATTCCATTATTTAGCCCGTTACCGGGTATACTTGGCATTTTACTTAAAGAAGCCAACATCTTCCCTTCTTCTTCTTCTTTACCTAAGAATTTCCATAATTATTAGAAGAATGTACTTCCGATACAATCGTCGCTTTATGAACATTTGTAAACTCAGGATATACTAACTTGTAGCGCAGCTCGAGTTGCCGTTTCAAATACTTCCCTAATACCTTCCTTACTCTTAGCAGAACATTCAAGATAAGCAAAAGCGTTGATTTTTTCGGCCATAGCTCTACCCTCTTCAGGCTTTACTGGTTCTTGTTTCATCTTGCTAAGCTCCTTGATGGTATTAGGATCATTGCGCAAGTCTTTTTTGTTTCCAACAAGGATAATGGGCACATTTGGGCAAAAGTGCTTCACCTCTGGTGTCCACTTCTCGGGAATGTTCTCCAAGGAATCGGGACTATCGATGGAAAAGCACATTAGGATTACATCTGTGTCAGGATACGATAGTGGACGCAACCTATCATAATCTTCTTGTCCAGCTGTGTCCCAAAGGGCCAATTCCACCTGTTACAAATTATACATATATTTTTCTCAATTCAATTATTGTAAGAGAGCAAGAGTCACGAGTGTTCTTGTGTTTGTAGATTTACCTGCTTTCCATCAACTTCAATGTCCGCGACATAGTTTTCAAATACCGTAGGTACGTACACTTCAGGAAATTGGTCTTTGCTGAAGACTATGAGTAAGCAAGTTTTACCACAGGCACCATCACCCACAATAACCAATTTCTTCCTAATGGCTGCCATGAATTCTAAAACGAAAATCATTACACGTTTATTTACTACCGCTCCATTATAAGCGCGCTCTGTAAAAATATATGACTTTATGCACATAAATCTCTTTCAAAGTGTATCTATTAATGAAAAAGCAAGAAATACACAATGGTTACACACTAGTAACAAATTTTCATTTAGATAACTCATACATAAGATAACTCACTTCAGAAATTCCTATGCTGATTATACGAATGAAATATCTGTTGTCCTAATAACTTACCTATTTATGATTAGCGATACAATTCTTTAGAATATACTTTCTCAAAGTGTAATTAGCTGTTAAATTTTAATAAATACTGTAGTTCTATTACTATACTCTTCGCCAGTAAAGCCTAATACATACTGAGTGTACATTCAGCTTTATATACAAGTAAAATAGTGAAAATGTGCACTAATAATTTCTAGTGCTTTGTCCTACGAATGCACATACACAAACGTGTGTCTATATATGCATAGATTTTTAAGTTGTCAACAATAATAAAAAATTTGTATACTAAGTTAACGCTCT